TCCACGCTGATGAGGGTTATTGCCTTATGTTCCAAGGTTCTGAAATTTCTGAAAAGTTAGCAAGGTACTTTATTCCAATTCCATTGATTGTATAGTGATTGTATTAGTAGTGTAGTAAATTTAGCTACATCATACTAATGGCTTAGATGATGATAGCAATGTTTCCATCATTTTATAAGATAATCAATGTGCTGCTGTCATCAATACTGTCAGTCTAGTAAAAACCTGTACTGGTGATACTCAGTTTACAGTTATGTTAAACTAGGTAGTTATATGAAATGAAAGAGTAATTCCACTTTGTTGAGATAAAATCAATCCTCTTTGGGTGATTTGTGTGCAATTTTAACCAACTATGTTGCAGTTTCCTACCTGTTTCTGTTCTGAAGAAAAAGCGGTGTGTTGCAGCATGTCCATTCCAAACGGATCCCTGAATAGGAGGGTCTGGGTTCCTGATAACCAGCTGGTGGGCTGTGTTGTAATAAGGAAAGGTGCAGTGTCTGAATCCCTTTAGTAGTAATTAACCCTTAGGGAGTATCTCACCAAAAATGAAATTCCTATTGCAAGAGATGTCAAAAATCACACTTGTATCTTAGTGCAGACTTCTGGAAAAATCAGTGAGCCAATCACTGAAACAGGAAGTGATATTTCTGTTGGTGTAGGGAACACCTCTAGGTCCCCATATTGCATTTAATTTTTTTTGACAGATTTTGAACATTGCAGTAGCTACAGTTTTAAATTGAAAGGTAATTTTTAATAACATGAAATTACAAAATATTTTGTGGACAATTATTTATGCTATATTAACTGTTTAAAGATTTTTATATTCTTAAAGTGGAGTTACCCTTTAAATCACTGAGATTTGGTTTCTGGGCTTGTATATAGTACATCTAAAACAAAAAACAGCCATGTAATATATTGCACATTACAAGGCCTTAGATGTAATGATGTAATGTCTGCATTAGTTTTATTTTTTTCAGGTAACGTGATCTAGCCAATAGTGAGTAGGTCTGGATCATATTTTCACTTTTTTTTTTTATTAACATTTTTACATACAGGCATGATCAAACCAGGAAAAAAAGTAAATTCAGGAGATATAGGACATTCTAACAATACATTGTCAAAGGAAGGCCAAACGCTTAATGTGTGTGCATCAAGTTGTGGGGTGTTTAGATCTCGAGTATTCCCCAATGGACACCAACTGAAGTGGTTGCATGCCAATGAGCACAGCCTAGTCTCAGAGACAAAGGCGTGTGATACGATCTTCAAAATTCTAAAAAAATGTAATAACCCATAACACCCATATCGTATAGTGCACAATCATAAAACACTCTGCAAACCTGGTTGAGCAGACAGAAAATGTTAGGCAGCAGACGTAATCGCGTTATAGGTGAATATGGGGGCATTATTAATATTTGTGCCTTATCGCCCTGGCACCTATTCGGTTAGGTGTAAAGAATCAGTGTTTGGTGTCTGCACATAGCAGAAATACAGCTAGAACCATTAATCCTTCTTTGGATCCATAATTCATATAGTAGCTGAACACAGTTATGAGTCTTTGAAAATTGTGGTTACCAAAATCCTACCTGTGCCAATTGGGTAATATGCAGCAGCCAGCCCCTTCCATCCATTTCAATTGTCTGAGTGGGTGTCAATTCACTTTGATCTCTATGGTATAAAAATGGAGATCTGCTATTAAATCTGAGTCATATATCGGGGGCCCCATCTATGTGGCAGTATGGTCTATGTTTTCTATCCAAGCCCAGGACCAAGACCAGGAGACATACTTTTACTGTATTATCCCTTTCTGTTTTCCTCTATGCAATGATACCTAGGGATATTGAATGTAAAACAAATACGCTTTTTTTTAAAATTGCCCTTAAGAACACACAAATCTGAAGAGACTGGTGTGTTTGTGATTGTACTGTATCATCAGTGCATGTATGCTAAATTGTAAATTACTGCTAATCTGTGTGAGATTTTGAGATTGCATGTGGCTGTGCTGTTTTTGTCTCAATGAGAATGAGGTGGCCAATCTGATTGCATGCAGATTAGTGCCAGTGTTTGGAAGCTATCATATCTGCTATAGGCAGGGGCAGATCTTCTTGCCACCAACAAGGATCTGTGTATGTGTGTGTGTGTGTTCAGTGAGAAAAATGACTGCTTAAGGAATCTAGCTCACAGGTTAGCTTGGGAAATCTCAGAGGGGTGGAGGATAGGGTTGCCACCTTTTTTTAAGCGAAACCCGAACACTCTAGCGACGCGCAGACATTTTTTGGGGAGAATGAGTCGTGGCTTATTCGTATGTAATTAGCGCCACCCATTCATATGTAAATACTACAGGTGAGACTATTTTCGGGTTGGGGGGGG